TTCTTTATGGCATGGGTTGTTAGCTGTGTGTCCAGCTCTCAACTTGGAGAATTGGATTGCACTCTGTCTGGCCTCGACCCTAAGACCTGTCCAACTTGGGTGTCCCTCCTGAAGACTAAAGCTCCTGCTGGTATAGCTCTTAGGGTTTCTGAGGCATGCAAACCCCCTGACCACAATAAGGTGGCAATCCCTCAGGGGGAAAACTGAAAAATAAAACTGAAAAGAAAAAAAATATATCTTTCATCCAGATTTTAACAAACAACAACATAACATTTATCTTAACTGGATGGCTTAATTCTCAAATAAGGGAGACTGGGGCTTGTTGTCACACAGGCAGGTAAGTTGTCACATTGTAATTATCTTTGCCACCAGAGGGCACAATTAAAAAGTGGAATACTAGTTTTCTTCCTTTACATGGCCAGGGGTCATGTCCACAAGTTAACTAGAAAAGCACTCGGAGAGCGCAGACCTCCGCCAAGCAGCTCATGTCCCCCCTTATATTGTGATTCACACCAAAACTTTTACTGTTACGTGTCTTTTATTAATGTTTATTTGTATTTAAATTGGTATGTTCACTGTTCATAATGTTCCTAAAACAACAAAGCTCATATTAGATACATAAATGCATGATTTATTATGCAATATTTGTAAGCGTACACTTCCTTGTATCTTCATTGGTTATCTTTCAGCATTGAAAATTCCAATGACACCCTTATTTTGTGTGTTCTGGATCACAGTATCCAGAATTTTGTCTGGATCAGATCAACCTTTGACACCTCATAAAACTCATTGAGATCCTTTTGTGTAATTTTTTACTAAATACTCTGGCCATTTTTATAGAGTTAAATGCAAAAATTCCAAAATGTGCCCTATCTCACAATGATAAAGAATCCTTCAAAAAATTCCTGGATCCGGAAGGCGATCCAGATCACCACCAAAATCTAATGGGATCCTCCTGGGGCTGAGACGCACCTCTGGTGAAAATTTCAGGTCAATCCGTCTGTAACTTTCTCCGTAAAGTTGCCAACAGTCAAACAAACAAACAAACCAACGCTACCGAAAACATAACTTCCTTGGTGGAGGTAATAAAAACTCTGTCTCTGTTCTACGAATTGACCAGTCGTGAAGAGCCAGAGGTTTCGGTCAACCGCCGGTTGGGTCAGTTGGGTAACCTGAAAGTGCAAACAAGTCTGGAAAGATTTATATTATCCTGTGTCCTGGGACCAGATAAGGAACCTGTCCTGCAGGGAATGTGTGGGTTTCACCCACAGGGTTGCTGCAATGGTAAGTAACAGTCAAGAACCTTTCTAATCACGCACGCACCACCTGATGGTGGGACACATCCGCAACTAAGCAAACAAGCTCAGAAACCTAGTCTGGGTTAAAACAACACACCTTTACACTTCTTGTGTTTTGTGTTGTATTTCTGGCATGTTACATATCTATCTCTACATTCTATATAGAATATATGCACAAATAAATAAATATAAATATTACAGGGAAACGTCTAATTTGGTTTGAGATGTTGTCACTGTGCTGCTGGAAACAGATGTGGATAGTATGAACATTGACAGACAGGTTCACTGCATAACTGAATCCATCAACTTCTGTAGAGACACAATTATACTGACAAAGACTGTTTGCTGTTTCCCCAACGACAAACCCTGGAAGTGACATAAAAGCAATCCTTAACCAGAAAAAGAAAGCTTTTAAAGATGGTGACAAAGAATGACTCAAACAAGTGCAACAAGAGTTGAAAAGGAGACTGAAGATGGCAAAGCTGGAGTACAAAAAGAAGATAGAGAAGAATCTACAACACAGCAACATCCGTGAAGTGTGGAAAGGAATGTAACAATTTGAATTTATAATAAATGTCCTAAAATAATAGAATTAAATTTTGACATTTTTGCACTCGTTGAAAAGGGCACCACCCACCCTTACTGCTGGGAAAAAGAAAGAAAACAAGGTTCAATTGAATAATCAAACGTTGAATCAGTCTTAAAACATATTTAAATCAATCTCACGTCTAAAGTCAGAATTCTTATTTTGGGGACTTCACTTCTGTAAGGACCATTAAGAGACGACAACTTAAAATTTAATGGATACTTTATTGACAAATGCAAGGTGATAACAATAAACAATAAATGATGATCAAACAACGAGAAAATAAAAGCATACTTAATGGATAAATGGAGGAATGGTTTGAATTGAGCTAAGACTGGATGTTAATGATAGTGAGTGAATACGGAAAAATTTAACCTACTTTAACAGGGTTACGAGGATAAATTTAGGAAGAGGAATTCGGAGAAACTAAATTATAATTTAGGATGTAAGCTTTGAACATATGAGACAGCATCAAGCCTGTTCTTCAGAGAGTGTCGAGAGGTTTGTCTACTTGACGATGAAGACGAGGACAAAAACGGCAACACAGAAAAAAACACAAGGTAGTAATGTACTTTGCTTTGCCCAGTCTTTCCAAAAGTTCATCAATGCAGGGCATTGGATATGAATCAAAACCGGAGATGCTGTTGAGCTTTCTCATGTCTAAACAGAATCTTAGCTGAGGAGAATCTTTTTTTGGAACCAAAACAATTGGGTTCGACCACTCACTTTTAGATGGTTCTATGACTCCCATGTCTAGCATCGCTTGTACTTTTTGCTTTAGGGGCTTCACCAATCTGTTCTGCCAGGTTTTTCTTGAAATAATGCAGAGAAAGACTGCTTTACTTCGCTCAGTTGGATTTGTTGTTCTGGACTCAGATGTTCTGGGAATCTTTCTGTGTTACCTCTGGTTCTGGTAGGTGTCAGTTCAGCTTCATCAGTCTCCTCTGTGTCATCATCAGTCACCTGGATGTCTCTGATCAAAAGGACCTGCTGTTTGGTGGACTCATGCTTTCTCTTTCTGTATAACTTTAGCAGATGTACATGGAGGATTTGTTTTGACTTCCGCTTATCAGGACAGAGAATTTCATATGTTACAGGTCCAACTCTCTGAGACACAGCATATGGGCCTTGCCACTTGGCCAGTAGCTTACTTGGTCCTGTAGGCAGTAATATCAAGACTTTTTTTCCCCTGGTTTCAACTCTCTCTCTTGCTTGTTTATCGTACCATACCTTTTGTTTGCTGCGACTTTCCTCCACTTTTTGCCTGGCCATCTCCCGGAAACTTTCCAGCTTGTCTCTTATCTGTAAGATGTAGGATGCTGTACTGTGTGTTGTTGCCTCACCAGCCACCCAGTTCTCCTTGAGCATGTCCTGGGGCCTATTCTACGAAGCAAGTTCAACCTAGTGAGGTAGCCTTGGAGCTACCTCGCTCAACTTAGCGCGGTAGCTAGCGGTCTCGCTAAACGGTCTTACGACACTGGTTATCAACCTCGTAAGTGGATCCAGTTTTGCTATGAGCGCGTGCATGCATGTAAGGCGAACAGTCCAGTTCGCCTTACATGCAGACTGGTAAGGACAGACTGGTAAGGACCAGTCTGGAGCGTCAGAGCAGGCCAGAGAGCGAAGGACCTCAGACTTTACAAACAAGGAGCAGGAGACGATCATGAGAAAGTATGAAGAATTCAAATCTATCATAAACCTCAAAAGCAACACCGTCGCTGCTGCAAAAGCACGGAAGGGAATGCTGGCAAAAAATTAATCTTTGATGCCATTATCACCCTGAAATAGCACTGTTCAACATGCGCTTTTAACTAAGGTGACCAGATGTCCCCGATTTCTGGGGACAGTCCCCGAATTGGATGATCTGTCCCCGGCTAAAGCTGTCCCCGAAAATGTTCCCGATTTAAGCGTTTCATGAATGAGAACAAAAATGTTGCATGTAGGCAAGAACAACGGTTATTACACTGGGTAGGAAGCTGCTGCAGGACACACAAAGACAGCAACAGAGTCTCATTTTTCGTTTTTAAAAGTCACAAAATTCACTCATGCTTCTTTTTTCTTTAGAAAGTGAATTAGCTGATGGACATATACAGTGCCTTGAAAAAGTATTTATACCCCTTGAACTTTTTCTCATTTTGTCACTCTACAACCACAAATTTTAAAATATTTTATTGAGATTTTTTGTCAAAGACCAACATAAAGTTGCACATAATTGTGAAGTGGAATGAAAATGGTACATGGTGTTACGACCTATCCTTGGGGTATGCTGGGTGTAACATAAAGTGCTCCTTCCTTTGTCCCAACTCCTCAAGAAAACCGACAACCAACTAGAAAATGCAGTCTTAAATGGGTTTATTTCTCAGCATAAATGGCAGTCGACTTCAGGGTGGACACAGGCCAAAATAACAAACAATACCATTTTTATTTATAGCTATCTTTCCTAACAAAAAAGAAATAGTATCAAATAAAATACAGGGGGTCTTATCTGCCTCCCTAACCCAAAACAAGAGAAAAGTTTTGTAAAAAAAAAAAAAAAAAGCTGCCCACCCCTACCTACCAGACTGGTCTTAAGGTAAACTAAAGCTATTTGTCTTAAAAGACAAATCATAATTCCCAAAGTTTTCAATATCTAACAACAAGATTAGCCTCCAAAATAGTCATAGTACAACAGAGTCTATTCAAGGAACTCTGTTTAGATGTATCTGTCCCCCTCCTCATCTTATTTCTTTTGGATCAAACTTCACTGTTGCCTGTATGTAAATCTGCACTGCCCTCTGCTGGTAACTAAGACACACTGCCACCGAGAACTCTACCTTAAGAAATCAGTCATTTTCATAAAACAGAAAATGAGGGAAACCTTATTCTTAACTTAAAATTATTGTAAAACATTTTTCAAATGAAATAATGTCCTATATTTCATTAATATGCCTAACTATGATATTTCAAATGTGGCCCGAGTCATTTAAACGACAGAAATGCAGCCTTTTTTCTGGCTCTTTTACTTTAAAGCCATGATTTATAGCCCACAGACCCATTTACATATACAGTACACGTGTTCTTAATGAAATAAAAGGACCGTAAAGTATATGGGGGTGTAAACTTGTACTCACCTTTTCATGCAGGTGACCAGAAGTACCCTACCTGCCTTACTTCCTTACCCTCTTATCGCCTTGTTATCGGACTCTGACCGTGTGACGCCCTCCGTTACCTCGCGGAACTATCAAACAGGTACGAACGTGTCTTTGCGGACTAAATGTTTTGTAGGTATATAAAATGTTTTCAAGGACTAAATGTTTTGTAGACAGGCCAATATAACGTGTGTTTCTGGTCTCTATCAAATGTCTGAAATCTTTATTTTGTGTCTAGAGAGAAAAGCTGAGCGCTGTCTGCCTCCTCTGTCTGTCATAGACTTTCTTCACAGCAGGTAAGAAAGTCTGGGTAATAGTCCTCTACTCTCATGTGTGTTATATCACAGTTTACAGTTTTAAAGTAACAATTTTTATCAGTGTAGCTCGATGTTTTATTGAAACTATCGACTCTTTTGTTGTAAGTGAAACTGAAACTGTTGAGCTGGTTCACAAAGCAATGAAGGACACTGGAGGGTTTGTTACTATTTAAACCACAAATGTCATAAGATCAGGTTCAAATGTTATGTTTGCGATTAAACCAAACCTGACTAAAGCTTGCTGAAGTTTATAGAGATGTAACGTAGTTGACCCAGCAGCAGAGAGAGCAGTAGATCTACCGTTTGTTCAGGATTATAAAAATCACATCATGTTTTTAAAGATTAATCCTTCTCTGTCTGCAGCTAAACTGTTTAATGTAGAAAAGTCTGTATTCATTACAAGTTAGTTAGAGCTGTCAGTTAACTGCTTTAATTACATTTTCATTGTTTTCAGAATGGGATTATTTTGCATGTCAAACAATTTCTCATATCCATATTAACAAAATAATTAAAGAGGACCCTGAGGTTTCCATTACCACAGTTTAAATGTTTTATTTTTCCTTTACTAAGTTATTTTCAGTGACATAGTCTCTCTTTATGTTTCATCTGACTTTGTTTTTTGTTTATAAGCTTTAGGATGTTTCCTCTGATGGACAGAAAGTTCCTCACCCTTCCCTTTGGTGCCTTCACTGACCTGCTTTTCCTCACTGTTGTCTTTCTCACCCTGATACATTCCTGTGCAGGTGAATCATAAACATCACTAACACTTTAATGTTAAGATGTAAAATTAGTTCGTATTAACTGAAAATAAAGTTTGCCTGTCAACTTAAACACAGTTGTCTGCTGATGTTCCAAAACTAAAACCAAACTCCTGTTTCTACTTCAGGTCAGGAGCTGATTGGTCCATCTCGCCCTATTGTGTCATTGATTGGTGAGGATGTCATTTTCCCAAGTTACCTGGAACCTGCCATGAACACCTTTGACATGACCGTGGAGTGGTCTAGACCTGACTTGGACCCCAGATTTGTCTTTGTGTGGCGTGACGGCGTGGAGCTAGGGAGTAATAAACATCCATCCTTCATTGGAAGATCATTAGTGTTTATTGATAAACTGAGACATGGAAACGTTTCCATGAAACTCTCTGAAGTCAAACTCTCAGATGAAGGAGGATACAGATGCTTCATTCCTACATTATCTAAAGATGTCACAGTTCAGCTGCTTGTTGGTGAGTTGGAACAATTTGTCCCTTCTTAACTGACTTCTCTGTAGTTGTAAATATCGCGAGGATTTCTTTACAATTTTTACAAGTTACAAATAAAACTTGATTCAGATTTAATAGAAGTTAAAACCCAGGTGCTGGAAAATTGTGCTTCTTTTATCTAAAAATATTCATTCCTGGACAAAGATCAGATGTTGTACATTTTGATAGTTAAAGGGATATTCCGGCGTAAAATTAAGTTAGGGTCAAACACACTGTAACACCGAGTTAGACACCCCCTCGAGAGATGAATGTTGCAGACTGCTTGTTTCTCTAGTTATACCAACTTTAGTAATGACCGCATTTTAGCAATGCACAGTGGTCTGAGTAGCCAATCACAAACCTCAACCAAAAAGCCACTCTATAGCCACAAATAATACTCAGAACAGCACCTAACTTCATCAACAGTACATACAGGGTCATAGCCATAGTACTAGCCACCAAACATCTTTTTAGCTTTGCCTAATTTCTTTAGCAAAGAGACTAAACACAACTCACCCACTCGCCTCCAGCAGCCGCTTGTTTGTGGGGAGAGCTCTGACAAGTCTATCACCGAATGCAGCGGGGTGACGCAGCTCAAGGAAGAACATTTATGATCATTTCTTCATGAAAATGCAATCAGACAAGACACTAAGGCAGAAGAACTACCGCATCTGCAGTGCAAAATGATTAATATAGTGATTATTACTTCAAGGAAATGACAAAGGAATGATCATTAATGTCCTTCCTTGAGCTGTTGAGTGTGATTGTTGCTAAAGTTGGTACAGCCAGAGAAGCAAGCAGTCGGCAACATTCATCTCTTAAGGGGGTGTCTAACTCTGTGTTACGGTGTGTTTGACCCTTACTTAATTTTACGCCAGAATATCCCTTTGAAGACACCTCTCTCTCTCTCTCTCTCTCTGAGTGAGATGGCGTGAGATGTTGGTGTGAGTGTGTTTATGAGTTGTTTGTCTATTATTCAGTGTTAAGAGGGTTGTGGTTTGTTGAGCGTGTGAGGGTGTGAGTGCTTCGGTTTGGTGGGCGGCGTGCTAACAGCACAATGCCGGTAGCAGAGGCTGCAGCCGCGGAGTTTGAAAAGCTGACTCGCCGGCATGCGATAAAGCTGAACCCCGCGGTGCAGTGCTTGGTGGAGGAAGCCAGCCTGGCTGTAGGAGAGGTGGTCGGGTACGACTCAGTGAAGTCTGCCTCACGAATGAACGGGGCTATTGTGATTTTTTTAAGCAGTACGGTGCTGGTTAACGAGGTGGTGGAGAAAGGAGTAGTGATTCACGACACCTTCACTCCGGTCTCCCCCCTCGTTAGCCCGGCCACGAAAGTTACCATCTCTAATGCCCCCCCGTTTATCAAAAATGAAACCCTGGCGAAAGAACTGTTCAGGTACGGACAGGTGGTGTCACCGATTAAAATGGTCTCTCTGGGCTGTAAATCCCCAAAACTGAAACACGTAGTGTGTCACAGGAGACAGGTGTAAATGATCCTGAAGGATAAAAGTAATGATCTAAACCTGTCGTTTTCATTTAAAATAGAGTGTGTGTGTGTGTGTCTGTGTGTGTGTGTGTGTGTGAGAGAGAGAGCGAGAGAGCTGTTCAGCTTTCTGGCTGATCAGACAGCATGTGTGGCTTCACCAAATGTGGTCATTGTGACCAAGGAAGATGATGTTATAAGCAACAGTACTATTAATCTGGCTGGGGTTGGCACCATGCAGTCATGAAGAAGCTAACACCCAGATCTTTGTGCATGCCAGGCATGCCACAAAAGCAGGCAGCAAGGTCATCATGGTCAAAGCCAATGACACAGATGTTGTTGTCATTGCAGTGAATGTTCTGCAGGCACTTCAGAACCTGGGTCTGCAGCAGTTGTGGGTTGCCTTTGGCCAAAGACAGAACCTGAAGTGGATTCCTGTTCATGACCTGTGTGGCACTCTTGCAGAAAAGAGCAAAGGGATGCTCTTCTTCCATGCATTCACTGGTTGCAATGTTGTTTCAGCATTCCATGGCAAAGGGAAGAAGTCTGCTTGGCAAACCTGGAATGTTTGTGATGAGGCTTCCAGTGTCTTCAGCAAACTCAGCCATTACCCACCTGTATTGGATGATGAGGACCTGAAAACCCTGGAGAAGTTTGTGGTCATATTGTACGACAGATCCAGCACAGCTGAAGGTGTCGAAGATGCAAGGTTGGACATGTTTGCTTGGAAGCAGAGGCCGTACAAAGCCATTCCTCCAACTCGATCAGCACTTAAGCAATATGTCATGCGTGCATCCTACCAAGCGGGCTGCATCTGGAGTCAGTCAATAGTATGTTAACCAGAAACACATAGTCCTGCCAACTGGGGCTGGACCAAGAAAGGAGATCTGTGGCAGATTGTTTGGACAGAGCTCCCACCCATTGCAGAGAGTTGCCAGCAGCTGACCAAGTGTGGATGCAAGTCGGAATGCTGCGGTCGATGCAAATGCTACTGCTTTGGTCTGACCTGCACAGCACTGTGCAGCTGCACGTGTGAGGTTTAGAAATGCTGTAGTAAAAGCCTACTCATCCAAACGGCCTACATGTAAAAAAAAAAAAGTAAATAAAAAATAAAAAAACCTTCCTCGGTAGGATCACCACCTTATTGTGGTGTGTGGTGGGGCAGTTTGTGTGTCTCCATGACCCCTAGAGCCATGCCAGCTGGAGTATTGTACTCCTGGCAGGGTCACCCACGCCAAACAGCTCGAAGGATAGAGATAACAGACAAAGAGTGATCCCATGGTGCTACCATGCATTTTAGGTGAAATTCAAATTTATCAGAATATTAGGATTCTGGGACTGATATGTGCAGTGAGGACACACCCTTGCCCACGCACTTGCCCTCCTTGCAACTCCCCCCCCCACCAGAAACACATAGTCCTGCCAACTGGGGCTGGACCAAGAAAGGAGATCTGTGGCAGATTGTTTGGACAGAGCTCCCACCCATTGCAGAGAGTTGCCAGCAGCTGACCAAGTGTGGATGCAAGTCGGAATGCTGCGGTCGATGCAAATGCTACTGCTTTGGTCTGACCTGCACAGCACTGTGCAGCTGCACGTGTGAGGTTTAGAAATGCTGTAGTAAAAGCCTACTCATCCAAACGGCCTACATGTAAAAAAAAAAAAGTAAATAAAAAATAAAAAAACCTTCCTCGGTAGGATCACCACCTTATTGTGGTGTGTGGTGGGGCAGTTTGTGTGTCTCCATGACCCCTAGAGCCATGCCAGCTGGAGTATTGTACTCCTGGCAGGGTCACCCACGCCAAACAGCTCGAAGGATAGAGATAACAGACAAAGAGTGATCCCATGGTGCTACCATGCATTTTAGGTGAAATTCAAATTTATCAGAATATTAGGATTCTGGGACTGATATGTGCAGTGAGGACACACCCTTGCCCACGCACTTGCCCTCCTTGCAACTCCCCCCCCCCCCCCACACACACACACACACACGCGCGTGCAGCACACACTAGACCTCTAACCTCTAAGATATAGGTTACCAACCATTTTACCAAAGTCGGACATAATGTAAACCTCATAAATACCAGAATATTAGGATTCCGGGACTGAAATATGGTACAAGGAAGCCAGTAAGTAAGTCCATGGGTCCAAATTTGGATTCTGCATAGTGGAAAATGTATGATATGACACCAAGTTCATCCAAATAGGACAAGTCTATGGAATTTTATTGCAAAATGCAATATTACTGTATTTTCATTGGTGGCCATCTTGAAAAATGGCCGCCATCTTGAATTTTCCTTTGGCCAGACGGAAATATCAAAAGAGCAACTTCTAAGGAGTATGTGTGCCAATTTTGGTGCTTTTATCCGCAAGTGAACGATTATTACCGTTATCTGCCCAGCTATGAAGGCTGCTTGGAGCGAGAAGAGCTCATGCTTTCAGACTCGGCAGACGAGAGCACGAGCAAAGTGATTAGTGATGATTTCATGGAGGAAGGCATGTCAGATGATGAACTTCTTAAAGTGTCTCAAAAAAGGAAAAATATTGTGACTGTTAAAAAGAACAAAAAAACGAGAAAAACGATTATGAGGAAGACCCCAGAGTCAGAGAGTGACTTCTCTTTTACCCAGGACTCTCAGTCGCCTTACTCCCCGGCTCAGATCAAAACTTTCCTGGCACAGATTAAGGGCTCCAGGCTGCCCAATATAAGAGAGTATTTCCCAGACCTACGCTCTTTTATGAGGTCAGCCAGACCCCTCACCAGGAAGAGCCATGGGGAGGAGGTTTTAACAGAACAAGAGGTCTTCAGACTCAAAAAGGTTTTAGGGAGGGTAAAAGAGCAATTCATCAGTGACGAAGATGAGTTTTAGATGCTTTTACCCTTCACTGACTGTTCTCCTGAGTGTTTTTTATTTTTTATCCATGTGTGATTTTAATATCAGTACCTTAAACCTAAACGGGGCCAGGGCTGATTTTAAACGCGCCACTCTTTTTAAATTGATGGAGACCAAAAGAATAGATATCATTTTTGTCCAAGAAACCCACAGCAGCTTAGATAACGAGAGTGACTGGAAGAGGGCTTTTAACGGGGAGGTAGTTTTAAGCCATAAGTCCAGCGGAGCGGAGGGGTGGAGATTTTATTTGCACAGAGTTTTTTACCCTTTTCTTTTACTGTCCATGAGATCATCCCAGGTGTTTTATTGAAGGTAAAAGCTGTCTTTGAGAATGTAAAATGTGTGTTTTTAAATGTCTACGCTCCTACCAATGCTGTGGAGCGAATAGCATTTTTAAACATTTTAAAGGACTGTGTTAGGGACTGTGAGAGCGATGGTTTTATGTTTTTAGGGGGAGATTTTAACTGCAGCTGATCCATCCCTGGACAGGAACCATCCTGAACCACACCCACCCTCATCACACACACTCCGGCGGCTGACAGAGAGTCAGGAGCTGAGTGATGTGTGGAGGGTTTTTAACAGTCAGCACAGACAGTTCACCTGGAGTCACAGTAGGGAGGGGGTTTTAACTCTAGCCAGACTGGACCGTTTTTACTGTTTTAAACACCATTTAAACATTTTTAAAAGGTGTTTTATGCTGCCAGTTGGTTTTACGTCTCCTGTCATGTTTTTATCAAAAACATTCGTTTAAAGAGCGCCTATTGGCATTTTAACACAGCCCTTTTATCTGACCAGGCTTTTAGAACTGCTTTTAGGGTTTTTTGGGAATCCCACAGAGAGAGCAGGCCTGCCTTCACTAACATACAACAGTGGTGGGATTTTGGGAAAGCCCAGATAAAACAGCTCAGCCAGCAGTTCACTCGCGGTGTTACTACAGACTTAGCTCGGTCCATGAAAGACCTGGAGTCGCAGGTGGTAGAGCTGCAGACTACTGCAGACTTTACAGCAAATCGAGGGCTTTTAGACTCCCTCAAGTCCAAAAAGTCAGCATTAGCCAACCTAAGGGCGTCTCAGCACAGGGGGCTCTGGTCAGGTCTTGTTTCATGAACATCACACAGATGGACGCCCCATCTCGCTTCTTCTTTGGGTTGGAGCGGAAAAATGGACAAAGGAAGACCATTCACTGTTTACAGATGGGTAGCAGCTCCGAAGTCTCAGACTCGTCTGAGATCAGGAAGTTTGTTGCCAACTACTACAGAAACCTCTTTAAGAGTGAGTGGTCGCATAATCCAGAAGTGCACAGCAACTTCCTGGCGGGTCTCCCTCAGGTCAGCGAGGCTGACAACAGCAGACTGGCAGCAGAGGTGACGCTGCAGGAGCTCCATGCAGCCACCATGAGCCTGCAGAGCAACAGAGCTCCAGGCATAGACGGCCTTCCTGCTGACTTTTACAAGTCCTTCTGGTCCATCATAGGACCAGACCTGCTAGAGGTCATGACAGAAAGTCTGAGGACCGGCAGGCTACCTCTGAGCTGCAGGAGGGCCGTCATCACCCTGCTGCCCAAGAAGGGAGACCTGCAGGAGCTGAAAAACTGGAGACCAGTCTCCCTGCTGTGCACGGATTATAAGATCCTGTCCAAGGCTCTGACCCTCAGACTGAGGGAGGTGATGGCGTCCATCATCCACCCTGACCAGACCTACTGTGTGCCTGGCAGGCTCATCAGTGACAACGTCACTTTAATTCGAGACATTTTGGAGCTCTCCAGGTCATTGGGTATAGAGACTGGTCTTATTTCCATAGATCAGGAAAAGGCTTTTGACCGGGTTGAACACCAGTACTTGTGGCAGACTCTGGCTGCCTTTGGGTTCAACCCTGGGTTCATAGCCATGGTCTGGGTTCTCTACAGTGACATTGCGAGTGTTCTGAAAATTAACGGCGGGCTGAGTGCACCATTCGAGATCCAGAGAGGGGTGAGGCAGGGCTGCTCTCTCTCTGGGATGCTATATTCAGTTGCCATCGAGCCTTTGCTTCACAATCTGAGAGACAAACTAAGTGGTGTGAGTTTCCCCCGGTGCCCTGTGTCTTTTAAATTGTCCGTATATGCTGACGATCTCATTGTTTTAGTAAAAACACAAAGAAACATCGACATTTTAACTGACACTGCTCATGACTTTGATTTTATCTCCTCAGCTAGGGTGAACTGGGGGAAAAGCGAGGCTCTGATGGCTGGAGGGGAGCTGGGGGGCCGGCTCAGGCTGCCCGGGGGCCTACAGTGGAAAAAAGGAGGACTCCGGTACCTTGGGGTCTTCCTAGGAGATGAGACCTACATACAGAAAAACTGGGACAATGTCCTAGAGCAGGTTAAAGGTCGGCTGGAGAAGTGGAAGTGGCTACTCCCAAAAATGTCGTACAGAGGCCGAACCTTAATCGCAAATAATCTGGTCTCATCTTCCCTGTGGCACCGGCTGGCCTGTGTCGATCCTCCAGCTTCTCTCCTTTCCAAGATTCAGTCGTTTTTAGTTGATTTTATTTGGGACAGACTCCACTGGGTCCCACAGAGTGTCCTGTTTTTACCAAAAGAGGAGGGGGGCCAGGGCCTGGTCCACCTGGCCAGCAGGGGCGCAGCCTTCAGGCTCCAATTCATACAAAGGCTGCTGACGGGGCCGAAGGACACTCTTTGGAGACCCCTGTCCCGCTGCATTCTGCAGGGTTTTAACAGCCTGGGTCAGGATTTTAATTTGTTTTTAATGAACACACAGAACATGAGCACATCTTCTCTACCTGCTTTTTATCAAAGTGTTTTTAAGGTCTGGGGCCTGATGAGGAAGGAGAGGAGGGGCCAAGTGGACTCGATATACTAGCTCCTGCAGGAACCGGTCCTATGGGGGACCTGTCTGGATCTTCCCAGCTGGGCAGGACAGAGTCTAGAGGAAAAACTGCAGACAGCGGGGATTGTCACTCTGGGGCAGGTGGTGGATCTGACGGGACCCCGAATGGACGACCCTGCTGGACTCGCTGCCCGGCTGGGACTTTTATCGATGAGTGTCACCCAAAAACTCATAGAGCACTGGAGACAAAGACTCACAGGACATGACCGCCTGCTTTTAAACTCCCCTTTTACCCAGACCGTGAACGAAGAAAACCCCTTTCCTGCCATCTTCCTGGCACCGGATTTTAAGGACTGTTCTGGCCCGCTGTTGGATTTTAACCACCCCGCCCCTTTGGAGGGCACAACTGGGAAAACCTTTTATAACATCTTGGTGAAAACAATAAACAGGAAAAAACTGAACCAAAGACCTGACACCCCATGGAGGACCTGTCTGAGCCTGGCTCCTGAGGCCAGGCCTGAGTGGAGGGCCTTCTATAAACCTCCACTCTCAAAGAAACACACGGATGTACACTGGAGAGTCCTCCATGGGGTCATAGCAGTGAACTCTTTTATATCGCACATTAACCCGGCAGTAGAGGACACATGTCCCTACTGCCCACAGAGAGAGACAATTTTTCACTGTTTTTATGAATGTCTGCGTCTTTTACCCTTGTTTCTGTTTTTACAAACTGTTTTTACCAAGTGTGGAGAGGTTTTTAACAAGCAGGTTTTTATTCTGGGTTTTAAATACACACGCCAACACAAGAACAAGTGCCAGCTTTAAACTTTGTTTTAGGGCAGGCCAAGATGGCTGTGTATTTTAGCCGCAGGAGGAAGGTGGAGGATGGTTTTATTGTTGACCCAGTCACTGTATGTAAGAACATGATCAAGTCCAGACTCCTCATCGATTTTAATTTCCACAAAGCAGGAGGAGATCTGGACTCATTCCAGCAGGTTTGGGGTTTTAATCAGGTGTTGTGTTCAATAGCAGGAAATATTTTACAGTTTGAAGATGTGCTCATGTAATTTTTATTTATTTATTTATCTATTTTTTGACTCTGTGTGATTGATTGTATGAATCAACCTCTTTTTTGAAAAAAGAGCGAGAAATAAAGTAGATTCAAAAATCAAATCAAAAATCAAATCAAAAATCTCTACCTCTCTCTCTCTCTCTCTCTCTACCTCTCTCTCACTCACTCGCTCTCTCGCTCTCTCTCTCTCTCTCTCTCTCTCTCTCTCCCTCTCTCTCCTGTAGGAGCTGTCTCCTCACCTGTTTTAAGAGTGACCAGAAACAACAGTGGAGTGTTGTTGGAGTGTGAGTCTAAAGGCTGGTATCCAGAACCAGAGATGTTTCTGTTGGACGCTGAGGGAAACCTTCTCTCTTCATCACCCACTGAGACCATCAGAGGTCCTGATGATCTCTACACTGTCAGCAGAAAAGTGACTGTGGAGGAGAAACACGGGAAGAACTTCAGCTGTAGAGTCACACAGAAGAAGATCCACCAGAGCAGAGAGACACACACTGTTATTCCAGGTAAATCTGAGTCAGGAGTTCATGATGTGATCTCTGAGCTGAACTGTAAATGTTCACAAAGTTCTCTGTTTATCATCACAGATCATTTCTTCGTGGTACCAACTACTCCCAGTACTCCCATTCTCCCCAGTTCTTCTGGTTCTCCTGCTTCTTCTAGTTCTCAGCCTGTTATCATCGGCTCAGTGATCATCTGTGCTGGTCTGGTTTTGATTCCTTTGGTCGTCTTCATTTTGTGGAGAAGGAGAAAAAATAAACTCAGTGAGTCAAAGAGTTTCTTTTTTTCTAATCTGGAGATATTTTCAGGTTGTCCTTCTTTCCTCTTATGAATGGGATATTATGGGAATGTCTGCTCTAAATTTGGTCCAAACCTCTCCAGATTTGCACAGATGTCCTTCTGGGTTCAGAGACTGACTGAGTCAATGTCTGGGGTCCTGGTCCAGGTTCAGTGTGACCCCCTCATCATTCAGTTCTCCTGAGCCTCATGTGTTGGCAGCTCTCAGCAAAGATTTTATATCATGTAGTTTATTTTTCATTCTTGAAAAAGTCTCTGCTCTTGGTGAAAAGTGGACAAAGCTTCTTTTCCCAAATGTGACCAGTTTCTCGTTCTTCTCTGTCCTCACAGAAAACAAGAGGGACCATGAGAGCGGGACTGAGCAGACTGAAGAGGGAAAAACAAAAACATCTAAAGGAGATTTAACAGAGTTTAATGTGGAGAAGGAAGGAGAAGAAAGAGAAGCACTTATGAAAGGAGGAGAAGAAGAGAATAAAGTGGATGATGAAAGAGAAGAAGACAACAGATCTCAGAGTGAACCTGAAGATCAGCTCATGACAAAACCAGAGTCATTAAATGAAATGGACAGAACATCAGGAGGAAGAGAGATAAAGAAGAGTGATGAGAGAAAAGAAGAAATAAAACAGGTACAGGAAATGGAACAAGAGCAGACAGTGAGACCAGTTCAGGAAAATTCAGGACTTCAGATGGATCTGTTCACTGCAGACAGACAAAGAAAACAGCCTCAAAATCTCAACAATCAAGAGATAGAGCGAGAGACAGAGAGAGATGAGGACAATGAAGGAGAGAAATCTGAGAAAAAGAGGAGAAAGAAAGAGAAAAAACAAGAGCAGAAGAAAAAGGGAGGCTCTGCATCGAGAGGGAAGAAGAAGTTAAAGGACAAACAAAGAGAAGAAATGAAACCAAAGGAAGAGAGTCTGACAGAGATGGAGGAAAGTAAAAAAACAGATGAGACAGAGCTTAGTCAACAGAAAGAGAAATGTGTTTTCAGAGATGACAAACATAAAAGAGATGAGACAGAATTCAAAGAGAAAACAGAGAAAGATCAAGAGAGAAAACAGCCGCATGTTTCGAGACTAAAGATAGAGAGAGAAGAGAAATTAACAGAGCAAAGTGATGAGAAACTAAGAGAGACAACAAAAATGAAGGACAAAAATAAGCATCCATCAACTGATGAAGTTTTAGAGAAGTCTGATCCAAAATTACATCCAGATACAGCAGAAAGAAAAAAAGGAGAGCTTCAAGGAGAAGCAGGCAGTAATGAAACTTGTAATGGACTTGTAATGGTTCTGGTAGCAGATGGACAAATAAAGAGGCAAGAACTTGAAACAAATCAGAATATCAAGAATCAAGAGCTTAAAGGTGAGAAGGAGGTCCAGACAGAGAAACAAGAAGAAAAACATGATAAATATCAGGAAGAAAACAAAAATGATCTGGAAGAATCCACCATCAAGATAAAGGCTGTGATTAAAAATAGACAAGAAGATGAGTTTAGAGGAGATTTACAAACTGACATTAATGAAACTTTGATGGAGACCAAAGAGAAGCTGAACCAAACCAAAGAAGACCGAGGAAAACAGGCAGAGCAACAGCTGGAGGTAAAGGAGAAAGACAGAGAGAAGACAGAGGAATCCACTGAGGAGGTGAAGGTAATGGATGAAGAAATGATGAAGACTGAAGAAGATAACATTAATGTCACTCAAAAGAAGGATGGGGGGGTTCAAAACCAAAATGAAAGGAGGAGAAGAAGAGAAGAAGCAGTTAGAAGAGCAGCTGAACGAAGAGGAACGAGACAGCATAAGGGAGCAGACAGAGAAATCAGGGAGGAGGGAAAAGAAGAAGGTGGAGGAGGACGGACAGAAGAGTCAGAAGAAGACATGGACACACATGAAAATCAAAGTGAGACAAAAAAGACAGAGAGCCTTTTTAAAGGAGCAGAAGGGGAGCAGCAGATCATGTTACAACCTGAAATCGATATGGAAATCAGTGAAGAGGGAAAAGAAGGAGGTGAAGAAGGACAGACAAAAGAGTCTCAGACTGAAGAACCCATGGATATTGAATAAACTAGACTGAGGGCCAACATGATACAAACAGAAAACAAAGTTGGAGAGGAAGAAGAAGAAGCGATGATGGATCAACGACAGGGTCCAGAGATGCTGAAGAGAAAGGACTGGAAGACTCATAGACCTGAAGCTTATGATAGAAAGAGCAGTAAAGAAAAACAAAAGAGACAGAGTTTCAAGATGACCATCAAAAGAGAGCAAGAAGAGAGTTTGATACAGGACAGTTTTAAAACACTGAAACAGTTAATGAAAGAACATGATGTTGATTAGGGAGAGTTACTGGAGAGATCTCGAGAAGAGGAACTGATGGAGATCAACTGAAACTGACATCAGGACTGTCAACAGAGAAGAGGAGACATGCTCTTGACATTGTTGTTTTCATGTGAGAGTAATGTATGAAATGTTTAAGAGAGAAGTGTGAAACCATGAAGAATTCACCATCACCACATTCTTCCAACAAACACTGATCTGATCCTTACTCATGATTCATCCTCCAAATTATTCCATTCTGAGCAGAGGTTTATCAAAATGTCTGTGCATCAAAATTAACTGACACACACCACACTGCTGGTACCCTGTCAGATACTTGTGACACACACACACAAACACACACACACACACACACACACACACACACACACACACACACACACACACACACACACACACACACACACACACACACACACACACACACACTGTTTTCCTTAAACTGCAGAACATCATTTCATCAAAGCATTTGATGCAGTTTCCTTCCACTCTGCTGTGAACTTGTTTGGTCAATGTTCAGCTATTAAAGTTATAAAGTTGCCTGATCAATGCTTAAGGCTTAATCAATAGATTTAATGAACTCTGGAGCAGTGTTACCATGAAGTTATTTATCTGTCAGTCCAAGTACTGAGGGAGCAGCAGAAAAAATAAATCAGGTAACTTGTTATTACCAAGATCACTTTCTTTAGTGATGGATCGTAAAAAACAAAAGTTATAATCCTGAGCACTGACTGCTGTATATCAATGTGTGTTAGCAGAGACTCAGATATCAGAGTTTGAGCAGTTAAACATTAACACCAGATGAAACTGGAGCGCAGACTTGTTGGACTCAGACAGATTTATCTAAGGAGAGAAATCCAGTTTACAACTTTCAAAAAGAGTTTTGAGGATCTGGATCACAAAGAAATCTAAAGCTACTGTAAGGGACTTTTGAAATGACTTGATTTTGGTGCTGCCTGTGGGCAAACATGTGCATCATATCACTTAGCTGGTCTTGTGTTGTACAGGCTAGAGTTTAACTCTGATAAAAGTCTCCCATCCTGCAGCCTCCAACAGTCAGTTGTGTCTCTTTTTGTAAGTCTTTGCTGTTGATATTGTAAATAAAGGCTGTTTCTTCAGCATGCTGTCAGCAGAGATCATATAAGACATGGATGTACTCTCAGTGATGTTGTCTGTTCTTGAGGCCGACCTCAGCAGTTGCTTTGTTAGAAATGCTGACTCAAGCTGAATTTTTGTTAACTTTACAGGAGGCAAAGATGTGAAACTGAGCGAGACCTTATCCTTGCAAACCACAAGTGTGCTAATGTCTCAGTCAAGTTAGCTACACCTCTAATCAAACCAAACACTTAGTTTTTATGGCCTCAAAACTTATGAGTTATAAAATATGATGAGACTGTTTTGCATCAGGCTGTAAACATGCTCGTTCTTACTGGTATCATTGGGGTCTGTTTGGCTTTTGGAGTCTGCCTAAGTGTTCCCAGAATAGCTGACTCTTGCTTTTCTTAAAGTTGGAAAGAGACTTTGCAGATCTGTTAGAGTTGGGTTATTCATTCCAGCACTAGGGGGTGGTGGAGGAGAGCAGTCTGACTTAATATGACAGAGTCTAAGGTTATCCAGTCATGGAGAGATTTCCCATAGACTGTATGGACAACTTGGTTCCGCCTAACGCCTGTATACGGATTTGAAGCCAAAAATCTCTCTGTAGTTCCAGGATTTTTCTTCATTTCCTGAAACCAGCGCTGCACAGTAGCGATGCGCGCATTCGGCCATGCATTCGCAGTGAGTCACTGTGTGTCAATCATAGAAAACTTTAAACCCCCTAATAACTTTTAAAAACGGAGCTTCACAGAAAAAAAGAGGACTTGAGCACAAACCAGTCTTACAGTAACTACATGTCAACATCACAAGCAGGGGGGAGAAAAATTTATGTTCTGTGTAAAAAATTTTAAAGTTTGTCCACAGCCCCATAAGCTTTCTGGCGGAGGCGGGATTTATGACCTATACTGCAGCCCACCATCAGAGGGTGCTGTTCTCAGAGTGGCTTCACCCAGCGAGGAGGCAGACTCTGTCCATTCTATATACAGTCTATGAAATTTTCCAGTCTTCTTCATCATCCTGACACTTATTTCTTCTCTCTCTTCGAGAATTTGCGCAACTCTGCCCTCTGAGGGTGGCCAGACCATCATGACAACAAAACATTTATCAGCCCAAATTGAATTATTGAGAAAAATCAGCAGTAAATGAAGTTATTTTTGTTTTGTCTAATTGGCGCAAAAATATTTTTTAACAAAACTCTTCCATGTCTCCTGACAACACGGCTGTAGATCCACATTTATTTTCTCATTTGATTGTAAAATCTGTTTTATTTGTAACTCAGAGGAAACTGAATGTTCTGTATTGCTTTATAATTATGATTTCTGCAGATTGATGTAAATATCAGACACACACTGCTTTCTTTGCTGAATTAACAGTCAGTGCAGAGTGGCTGTTGAAAAGGTCAGCACACCTTTTCATGCAGGTGACAGGAGATGAAAACTTGTCTCCTTTTTATCAGACCTCCACCAGCTGCAGACTCCCACAACCATCCAACAGGTAAGGAATGTTTTAGTCAGTGTTTTTGTCGTTTCTTGTCAACAATCTTTGTTCTTTTAGAGGGAAGCCCTTCTCTGTCATGAACGCTCTCCTCCATGTTATGACTGTAATCAGGAAATCCTCTGTCCTCGCCTGTTCTCTCTATGTGATTTAAAAGTATATTTTGACTGTAAATATTAAAGGCTCTGGTTCTTTTAGTCTTCATTTTTTGAGTCTATTTGTGATTATTATCTCACTATTATCATCTATGATCAGGACTTCAGACTCATGAAATTTCTGTAAACATGAAATACAGTAAAATTTATTCAGGGTCACCTGAGAGCAAGATTTTACAAAGCAGTTTACAGTTAGTGCAGTTAAGTAAATTTAATGGTCTTTAGTTGCAGTATTTTAGCAGTTAAAAGACAAACTAAAAAAGAGGCATGTTGGTTTAGTAATAAATGTCCTAAAGACAGGCTTAAATATCACACAGAGAAAAACTCAAACCAGGGCCTGTTCTAGGAATGCACATATGAGGGGGCAGACAGAAATGTTAGTGGGGCTTTTTTTTTTTCACACATTTTTAACACTGTTTGTGTTTTCTTTATGGCATGGGTTGTTAGCTGTGTGTCCAGCTCTCAACTTGGAGAATTGGATTGCACTCTGTCAGGCCTCGACCCTAAGACCTGTCCAACTTGGGTGTCCCTCCTGAAGACTAAAGCTCCTGCTGTTATAGCTCGTAGGGTCACTGAGGCACACAAACCCCCCTACCACAATAAGGTGGCAATCCCTCAGGGGGAAAACTGAAAAATAAAAATGAAAGTAAAATAAAATATCTTTCATCCAGATTTTAACAAACAACAACATAACATTTATCTTAACTGGATGGCTTAATTCTCAAATAAGGGAGACTGGGGCTTGTTGTCACACAGGCAGGTAAGTTGTCACATTGTAATTATCTTTGCCACCAGAGGGCACAATTAAAAAGTGGAATACTAGTTTTCTTCCTTTACATGGCCAGGGGTCATGTCCACAAGTTTACTAGAAAAGCACTCGGAGAGTGCAGACCTCCGCCAAGCAGCTCATGTCCCCCCTTATATTGTGATTCACACCAAAACTTTTACTGTTCCGTGTTTTTTATTAACGTTTATTTGTGTTTAAACTGGTATGTTCACTGTTCATAATGTTCCTAAAACAACAAAACTCATATGAGATACATAAATGCATGATTTATTATGCAATATTTGTAAGCGTACTCTGGACATTTTTATAGAGTTAAATGCAAAAATTACAAAATTTTCCCTATCTCACAATGATAAAGAATCCTTCAAAAAATTCCTGGATCCGGAAGGCGATCCGGATCACCACCAAAATCTAATGGGATCCTCCTGTGGCTGACGCACCTCTAGTGAAAATTTCAGGTCAATCCGTCTGTAACTTTCTCCGTAAAGTTGCCAACAGTCAAACAAACAAACAAACAAACAAACAAACAAACACTACCGAAAACATAACTTCCTTGGTGGAGGTAATAAAAACTCTGTCTTTGTTCTCCGAATTGACCAGTCGTGAAGAGCCAGAGGTTTCGGTCAACCGCCGGTCGGGTCAGTTAGGTAACCTGAAAGTGCAAACAAGTCTGGAAAGATTTATATTATCCTGTGTCCTGGGACCAGATAAGGAACCTTTCCTGCAGGGAATGTGTGGGTTTCACCCACAGGGTTGCTGCAATGGTAAGTAACAGTCAAGAACCTTTCTAATCACGCACGCACCACCTGATGGTGGGACACATCCGCTACTAAGCAAACAAGCTCAGAAACCTAGTCTGGGTTAAAACAACACACCTTTACACTTCTTGTGTTTTGTGTTGTATTTCTGGCATGTTACATATCTATCTCTACATTCTATATAGAATATATGCACAAATAAATAAATATAAATATTACAGGGAAACGTCTAATTTGGTTTGAGATGTTGTCACTGTGCTGCTGGAAACAGATGTGGATAGTATGAACATTGACGGACAGGTTCACTGCATAACTGAATCCATCAACTTCTGTAGAGACACAATTATACTGACAAAGACTGTTTGCTGTTTCCCCAACAACAAACCCTGGAAGTGACATAAAAGCAATCCTTAACCAGAAAAAGAAAGCTTTTCAAGA